ATAAGATTGTATATCAATGATACCTTAATTAAAAAAGAAAAAAGAATGGCTGATATCAGGGAATTTGCAGACATCTAGTAAACTCAACATCATTGTCTAATAAAAGGCTTGGAATGGTAGGTGTGATGGTCCTTTTTCTGGGAAGCCTTTCTCCATCTCTGTGTCTGGGGTTGGTGGCCCTGCTTTGGGCACAACGTGCCTCCCTCCACCACCAACAGGGAAGCTATTTACCTACTTTATAAGCTCCATGAAGGAGGGAAACCGTCTGTTCGTATTGCCTTCATTTATGCAACCTATATTAGCTTACATTTTCATGACCTCTTAAAAAAAACTATATGACAGATATATGGTTAACTGGAGGATACATGAAATAATAGATACAATGGGTCTATCAAGTGTCCATCACATAGTGGCATGAAACAAATGTGAATTGTTCTACAGCTGTTAAAGATCTAGTTCATAAAAATTCACACCATTAAAATGTAAGCCGACAAAATGCACTAGAGACCAAAATGACAATTCATGTCCATTAAAATAATGGCTAAAATATAATGTAATTTCTGGCCCTACTCTGATTTAGAAATTATCTTACAGAATTCTTTGTCATACATAAGAATAACTATCAGCAATATGCGTAAGCATTTAATTTTAACTTTCATGTAGGGTTAATAGCTGATCATTAGCGAGGCAGCTGACACGTTCTTTACTGAGAATTAATTATCTGCAAGGCCCTATGGCCAGTCTCAGGTGAGCGATGGAACAGTGTGAGCCAGAGGTCTCTGCCTAACTTAGGGGGATTAAATCCCTCAAGGAGACATGTGGTAAGTGACTAGATAACTAGGTATACACTGAAATAAATGACTGTAATGGGTTGAACTGTGGCCTCCCCAAATTCATTATGTTGAGGTCCTAACACTCAATATTTCAGAGTGTGACCACATGGAGGACTAAGGTCATTGCAGATGAAACCAGTTACAATGAGGTCATACTGGAGGAGAACGGGCCCTTAATCCAGTATGATTGGTGTCCTTCCAAAAGGGGTTAATTTGGACACAAAGACAAGCACACAGGGAGACTGCCCTGTGAAGAGACACAGGGAGAAGACGGCCACGTACAAACCAAGGAGGGGGGCCTGGAACACATCCGCCCTTCACAACCCTCAGAAGGATCAACTCTGCTGAGACCTTGAATTTCGACTTCAAGCCTCCAGAACTGAGACAACACATTTCTATCATTTAGGCCATCTAGTTTGTGGTCCCTTATTAAGACAGCCCTAGCAAATAAATACAGTGGCAAACACTAAATAAATTCCTCTCACAGAGCACGTCTCTCAGCTCACCACGCTGGGGACCACTCACATTTGGGGCCAGAACACTCCATGCGGTTGCAGTCTGTCCCATGCATCGCCGGATGCAGCAGCATCCCTGGCCTCTATCCACTATATGCATGTAACACACACACACACACACACACCTTTCACTGGAACCTGCACTACCTGCTACTATTTCCAAGTAAGAAACAAGTTATAGGAATTCTAAGGGAAAAAGTCTAGTTTAATATCCACTTACAACTTTCCCAATTACAAAGAAAGTAAAAGACTCTCAAAAATACAGAAACTTACAGTCCAGATAATGCAACCCAGGAGTGAAATCCCATGTCCTCACTGCTAGATCAGAAGGGCTATCTGTGTAGGAAAACTGAGCTGTAAATAGAACCTTTACCAAACTATTACAAAATTACAATGGGATGATCCACTGAAACGGGCACTGCGCAAACAAACTCCCTCAGCTAACCTTCAGGGTCTGAATAGCAAAATGATGTTTGGAACTTCAGCTCCAGCTAACCGGAAGTGGGCTATCCTGAAACTAAATGGCAATGAAAGGTCAATTTTTCTTAGTTCGTATATTTTTATAGGTATAACTAGACAAAAGAAACAAGAGCTCCAACATTGCATGTTGGAACAGAAAAAAAGGAATTACTGCATTGTAATTCCTTGAGAACTCTGGAATGCATTACATTAAATTCTCCTATATATATATGGGTTCACAAACCAAACTTTTTAATCCAAGATTGGAGGACTGAAAGGCTTCCTAAAATTCAATTAGGATGATGTAAAAGGGCTGCATCATCATATGCTCCACGTAGAGACTTACGCGTTTGGCAGGAGGACTTTCCTCTTTTCATCTTTATAAAATAAAGTTCAGGAAATGCTGGCTTAATTTTCTCTTTATTTCAGTATTTTATGAATGCTTCCCAATGCACAGTCTCTGAAAGCATTAGGTTACTGACATGATGCTATTTCAGATGATGTGGAAGACTTTGCATGAATTCTACATTAGAATTTTTATGTTTTTTTTCTTATATGCCTAAAAAAAAGTTGTAAGGTACAAAAGGACAGTCCAATTCTTTATAAAAACACACACATACTGAAACCTAGTATGAGTACAAATGCTCCCCAAAGGTTAGTATTAGTGCAATACGTACTCTTAATAATCATTGCAGAATTCCCCTCTTTAAATAATGGACTTTTACTAACAGAAGGAAAACATTTTCAAGCAGGAGACACCTGGGTCCTTCCATACTCAAAGAAGTAAAGCAAATCTATCATCTTATCAATGAAATCCTCCTCAAATTTCTCCACGCTTTGTGTCTCCACAGCATTACAAATCCGTTTCCATATGAGATGCTAAAGCTTTAGAAAAATGCACTTACAGGACATGTTAGGACCAAAGTAGTAATTAACAAAAACACACTTCCTTAGCTTGGGTCCTTTCAGTATGCTATTACTTCTTTGAAGCTCAACGTCTAGATTGTACTGAAGTTTTAAACAAAATAGGAAAATATACATTCATAAGTGTGTGATAACTGGAAAGGCACAGTCACATATTATGATTTCTTTTATCCTAACTTAAGTGGCATGTTCTAGAACAAACATACCACTCTAGCATGTTATTTGTTTAAATGCTCTAGCACACATTTTGTGAAACGGCTGTTAATAATGCTCATAAGCACATTTTGTTGAGCGGCTGTACATGTGTTTTGGTGCACTGGGTGCTGTTTGTAAGCTGATCTCTCTGTAATTAGAAGATAAAATATATTACATCGTTAATTGTCAGGCCCTCCCAGGGACAGTATCAACGGCGACTAGCACGCTGGCCTGATTAGACAAGGGTGCAGGACTCATAATGACGAGTTTCATTTTCATGACAAGAAGGGTTACAGCGTGACAGTGTCCCCTCACAAATGTGGCGGTGTTATGTACATGTTAGTAACTGCTCTGTGAGAGTATACAAGTCACCAGCGGAACTTGACCACCAGGTTTAAATATCTAAGTCTGGGAGCTGTTGAATATGGGACAGCGCTGTGGGGTTTTAACGATCCGGCGTTAAAAGGCAGTGTTAATCCAATTAAAACACAGTTTTGATAAAGGAACCACTCCCACCCCACCTCCCCTGCAATCTGGCATGTTTACATTTTGGAAAACAAAAACACCTATGTCTAATAATCCCAAACATTCTGTCCCCAACCAAAAAGGGGTGGAGGGGGGTCGGGGAGAAATGGGTGGGAAATGATCACCTTGGTTTCTAACATCTGATAGCCAGATCAACTTCTGAAGAGTTTTAGAGGCACAATTCACACACGCATTGCCTGTCCTAGTACCAAGTTTGGAGGTGTGTTTCTGGCCACACTAGAAAACCAGTCAGCATCAGTCTTCCCTTTTCCCTTGTCTGTATTCCCTAAATCCTGGGGCCCACTTTCTCTGTGCATTTAAAGATGGATTCACCCCAGCCACCCTTGGCCACTCCCCATGAGTCAGGTTGCACAAATGGTGCTTTCGCTGCCCAGGTGACATCTGGAAGCCAGGATTCACTTCCGTCGGCATGTCAAGAAATAGCCAAACCGAATCACAAATGCTGGGCGTTAATCCCGGCATCCCCAAACAAACCACGAGGGCCCAGTAAATAGTCCGCCCACCGGCGCTAAGGAGACCTGAGAGAAACCATTTGTGAAAGGGGACAGTGTGCTCTGAGTGATAACACTCTGTGATCACATGATTCCTCTCTTGTTTGCTCAGCAACTCGGTGTGTGTCTTTCCTGAGAGGAAGGACTTCGATATATATTTACTCAAAGCTCTTAATTTGTGTTTCCTTTCCTTTTAATTGGCGTCTTGTGATCTAAAATTAGCCGGTGCACATAGGACCTCACTATCAGAGCAAGCTCTCGGCTGAGTTCGCAATAATTAGACCCACCGTCGCCTGAAGTTTAACAGACATCGGGAGACCTGCCTTATTTCTTCCCTGGTGCATTCTATCCATATTTAGAGAGTGACATTTTAATTTGACATAGTCATATTAATTATTATTCCCAGAGCTGGAGTTAGGTTAATGATTTCATGTTAAAAGTGGAGTTCCAACAGGCTTGCCTATAACCTTATTGAGAAATAAGCCTACACGAAAAGGGATTCTTGCATGGAATCCCAGATGGCCAGAGCAGTCAGTTCCCTATAGGCTGGGGATCATTTACCAGAGGAATAAGAGGTCACATGTCCTCTAAAATCCCACAGTTGCTACAGTCCTTTCTCCTCTATTGTCCTGTCTGTGCAGTAACTAGATACAGGTACAATTCAAATGAAATTAGTTTTCCCTGATGACTGAAGAAAATAAATGCCCCCCGAATGCCCAAAGGCAGATTTTATCTGCCATCCCTTTTTGTTTTCTCCTTCCTTCCCTCTCTCTCTCAACTGCAAAGATTGAAAATGATCCAGATTTTTCGAATTCGCCCTCACCTTGACAACGCTAAAATTACAAGCAGCAGTGAACTTTTACAAGATACCCTTCCTGTGCAACATTCACAGGCTGCCAAAAAACATGCTACAACTAATCAGATAACAGAGGTGAAGAGAAAGCCTTCACCTGCCAGGCGGCTAGCCGTGAATACACTTTTTATTTCCATGACATTTGCTGGCAGAAAGGGGTTGGCTTAAGGCGGATCGGACTAACCTTCAATTTGTCATAGCGCTCACTCAAAGCTGCCACCTGATGATCTCGGTGCCGCCCAACCAGTTTACACAAGGCACAGATTAACTGGTCATCGGTCACACAGTACATATTCACCTTCTCATCCTCATGCTCCAGGCACATCAGCCCCCGGATGTGCGAGTCCGGAATTGGCTCAATCAGACGATGGCCTGTAAAAGGCTTCTTGTTCGGGTGAGTGGCTTTCAGGCACTCGTCACAGTAGGACACTTCGCAAGTGACACAGGTCTTCACAGCGTCCTGGGCAGGATCCTGGTCACAGAACTGGCAGAGGACTTTCTCGGCAGAGGTCATGGTGCTGGCGTCGAATGCCCGCTCCCGGCGGGTCTCGCTGGGGGAATTGGGCCCGCTCACTGATGCTTTCTGGAACCTGTCGATGATGTTCTGCAGGGTGACGTTGCGCTTGAGCCCGTCTAGACCTCGCTGGCTGAGCGTGATGACATGTCGGCAGGTGGGGCACTGGAAGGCGGTGATGGACTCCACGGACTCGTTGGTGGTGCAGTGTGACACCAGGATGCGGTGGGCGCAGTTGAAGCAGAGGCTGTGTGCACAGGGTAGCAGGAGAGGGTCCTCAAAGAGCTCCAGACAGATAGGGCAGGTCAGCTCCGACTCCAGTGTTTCCATCTTCAGGCAAAGCTCTCCTGGGTCATCAGCAAAATCCAAGGAAGCTGATCAGCTATCTGGAAACAGAATGGAAGATTTGATTAGGCGAGAGGGGGTCAGCCGTGGGGAGCTGTCAGCTTTGAATGCGTCTCAGAATCATTCCAAACACAGGTCATGGGAGGGTAAATGTATGTACCTTCCAAATTATTCTCTTTCTATTCCCTGAGGAAAGGAGGAGGGGACCACCCTAAGCCAGCATACCAGCAAACATTCTCTCAAAGTTCCAGTCACTGAAAGTGGTGTTTGGAGTTGTGTTGCTTTTTTTTTTCTTTTTGCAAATTTTTTTTTTTAAAGTCTTATTCCAAACTGGCAAATTATTGAACCTGTAATTTCCATAATTTGTATCTAATCACAATAATCTTACTGTGTCACAGCCAAGTTTTACCTTGCATTGAAAATTATGATGTAGAAACATTAATTAACAAACTACAGAGTCTTTCATAACTTTGCATTTATGGCCTTACATGTTAATGTATGTGTGTCTTAGGTACACTAGATACAATATGTGCTAGTACTAGTTTTGCTCTGTAGTACCAAACCGGGCTTCAGAGAAGTAGAAATGGGCATGAAATGCATCAGACATCAAGTGAATGATTTCAGCAGAAATGATCATGCTTAAATATGGAATGTGAGTCTCCAAAATGTATTCTGGAGAAAAAACAATGACTTTTCACAAAGATGACTGTGATAGTGGCGATGCCTCTGGCATGTATTTGTTACTCTTCTGAATAATTCTACTGTTTAATCCAACAGGGGGATGTCGGTGGGCAGAGAGCAGCATAGAAAAATATCTGGGGGCCTTTTTAGTGGCTGCAGTGAGCTTGCATATGAATGACTAATAACGATTTAGTTAATTAGAACAAGGCTGCAGTATTCATGTGATATTTACTGCCTACAATGTTCATTTGATAAGGTATAACAATGGTAAAGACTACAGTTTAGAAAGCAGTTTAAGGTCCCTGCATTACTCCCAGGCGGCTTGCAAGAGCTGCTGAGGGAACTTGCTTAGCCTTCCTGGCTTAAAAGCCCCCACCAAAGGCTTGTCACTGTCACCAGTGACAGGCTGGGCTGGCAGGAGGTGCAGCCTCACACCCAGAACCACTCTGGCTGGGCACGGTCTCCACCAGCTTTGTGGCTCCCCCTCCAAGCTGCCTTCGGGTGGCCCAGCTGCACTGGCTGCTTTTGTGAGCTCTCGCCTGCCTTCCCTTCAAAAAGGGTAGGGGAAAGAATCCCACATAAACCCCGGCTCATTAAAGGGGAAGAGGCCTCATGCTCATTAGCAGGCCTGGGAACCAAGCCTCCTTGAACCTTCTCCCTTTCAAGCCTATTAGCGGAGGTCCACGGAACAGGACGGGCGCGTTAGATGCAGCCCGCTGCAGCTCACCCAGTGGCCCCGAGGCTCACATCCCTCTCCAGGGAAGGGCCCCCAGCCAGATTTACAGGAAGGCTTCGCATGCAGCACTATGTTTAGTGATTCTGACAACTGGCCTTTGGCCTTTTTGTATTCACATGTCCATTTATTTACAAAATTCATGATTTCTGGAATGCCCTGACCCTTTCTGAAACAGCATCCCCCAGGAATACCATGTGGTGCTTTGGTTAAACTAATGCTCAGCTTGCTATCAGCTGAATGGTTAACTGATCATTAAAAGGGTAAAATATGCGCTGAGCTTGTTAAAAATTAAAGAGCTGCCGGCTTCATAGAAGCCTGGTATCTTAAACAAATCTTCAAACATTTGCTAATACTAAGTACATAACAAAAAATAAATGGGCAGCTGAGATTTGAAATAGGAAAGCTTGCTTATCATTTCATAACCTGCAAAAAACTCCAGGGCTGCTATTTTGAGAAACTTACCACCCCTACTTGGTCCCAGCCAACTACAGATGGCTTGGAAGAAATTGAACGGTTTCACTTCTTGATCATTATTTTGGTTAGTTGTGGAAATACAGAATGAGCTCTACATCAGATTTCTTCTCTCTTCCCATAAGAAGACTGCAAATTAAAGGAAAAACGTAACCCCCTTTGGTCTGCTTTGTTCTCAGGTGAAACAAGAACACCTACCAATAGATCTCAACAGAGGGATGGGCACGTCAATTCTGTGTGTAGCTATGCTGACTGTATTTATGCAGGTGCCAGGATTCCACCCCAGAGTGGTGAAGGCACAATGTCTAGTGGTGATTCCACTGATGACCCCAGTGGAAACGCTGATATTTTATTCAAGAGATGTTTACTGAATGGCAGGTACTGAGCTGCCTTGAGAAGCCAGAATCCAGGACCCTCGTCATATCACCTCTGTGACCATGGGCCAGGCCAGTGTCATCCCTTCTCTGGGTGATCACAGTATCTTTCTAAATGGTCCCGGGGCTTCTGCTCACCCTTGCCTCCCCCCTCCCACAGTCTGTCTTCCACTCAGAAACCAGAGAGCAGTGCTGAAACATGACAGAGTCCGCCTCTCCTCTGCTCTACCCTCCACGGGCTTCCCATCTCCCAGAGCAATTCACCAGAAGAACACCAGCCCCAGAAAACACAGACTCAGACAGTGACCTCACTTCCTCCCACACGGGCCCTGGTTCTGCTCGGGGCACATGGCCTCCTGGCGATTCCTTAAACATGACCAGCACGTCCCATCCGTCCCTCGCACGGCCTTCGGAGCCCATACGACTCTCTGTTCCACTGTCACCTTTTTTATGGACCTATGTAAAACCAATTCCCCTGCTACCACCACGGCCACCCACCCACCCATTACAGCAATCCCCCCATCTCAGTTTGTCTTTCTCCATAACATTTATCACTGCCATACCCTGTTAGTTTGTCCATTGCTCCATGCCTCTCCACTAGAATGTAAGTTCTACGAGAGCAAACGCTTTGCTTTCCTCTTTGAGGGATGCACCACCATCCCCTGGAAGAGTGCCTTACGCACCATAGGGCTCGAAAGATGTGTGGACTGAGTTAATAAATGTACTGATGTTGGGGTTGAAAGCAGCATAATCATTGCCTTCAGGGACCTCACAATGTATCAGAACAAAGGTCAGCAAACTTTTTCTGTAAGAGGTGAGATTAAACATTTTGAGCATTGCAGGCCATACGGTCTGTGTCGCAACTGCCCATCCCCGCCGTGGCAGCATGCAAAGGCAGGCATACACAAGGACAAATGCGTGAGTGTGGCTGTCCAATAAAATGATGTTTCCAAAAACAAGTAGCAAGCTGGATTTAGCCTGAGGATCTTGTTTTGCTGACCCATGTATGAGAAGGCAGAGACACACACAGCTAGCCAAAATGTAATGAAAATCCCTTTCAGAGAGAGATGAATAAATGCTGTGTGGGCAGCGACGGCCACAAGGGCGGAGGGAGGCAAGCACCCACACGTTTCATCTCAGGGCTCACGGGAAATGATATGCAATGGGCCTTCACCCTGACATCAATGGGAATGATGGGGAAAGTGCTTGGGGGCACTTCATGTAAGAATGATTTAATAGCACTGCTCAGAACTGGATCTTTTCCTTTCGTTGCCATAGGGCCTGGTGTGGGGCTTTGTGCAAACGTCTACCTTGTAAATGTTGCTTAACTGTATTAAGTGATGACAAAATATCTAGATGCAAAGTGGGGTTTGGGCAATTTTCTCAGTCTGTTGCCTGTCTGCTGCCCAAAAGGAAGAGGGTTCTGATTTTCTATCTATCATGGCTCCCATTTTTCCCCACTTTCTTGCAGATTTTGCCAAGGTACAGATAACATTTTTGTTAAATTTCTCAACAGTAGGTTGCTAGTAAGCATGCATGCCATTCCCCTGACTCAAAAAAAGTTAGCATGCTTTGTTTCCTAGTTTTCTTTAAAGTATCTTTTTTGAGACATGAAAATGCCTTTCACAAAATATTGAACTCTCTGTAGGTTCTTGGCCCCGGGACAAGTAATGCTGCCTCAGTGATCTTATGGTCCATCAGGGGAGAGAAAATATGAACACTTTGTTATGCAACATAACAAAAGACATGTGGGGCGGGGAGAGAGGGGGGAAGCTTCCTGCAGGAGGCCACCCCAGGGTTTTAGAAGAAAAGCAGGGGTTCACCAAGCTGGTGGGGTGGGGACATTTTGTGCAAAATGTTCTTTTCCTTTCCTTAACTCTCATATTTTAATCTCCAGGCCTGAGAGAGAGAGAGAGAGAGAGAGAGAGACAGGGAGAGAGAAAGAGAGAGAGAGAGAGAGGGAGAGGGATTCTTAGCCTTCACTCAGTACAATGGAAGGAAATCACACGTGCGTATCATTGTCAGGAAATTCTATAGCTCAACATTTTTCTGAATGGGCTGATCGGTCCTCATTCAGAGAAGGATGTGGGTGCTCATGAGAACCCCTTGCCACAGAGTGGGGATGGCAACAGTTCACAGCTCACACTTCTGTTTGTCCACAGCCTGTGCTGTCGGGAGCAGGGCACGGAATAGCCAGGGAAGGGAGAGAGTGGGATGGGTGGCCAGACAATCTCCTATGAACTAGCTGCGTGTCCCTGGGGGAGTGCCCACAGGTGCCCCCTCAGGTACCTCGAGCTCTCACTCTGATCACATCCAGAAGCAGGAGTCTTTTGTCACAGGTTGCAGTTAAGCCCTGTATCCTGGGATGCACTGGGTGCAAGACATCTTTCCAAGAAAACTCTTTCAGATTCAAGACTTCTGAGGAAAGCCCTTCTTTAAAATGGAAAATTAGTAAGTGGGTATTTTGGTGGAAATGATGATGTGAATGTTTGCATGCCTCTCCCACCCTCCTTTCTGTGGCTCCCTGACCCTGTGTACTTCCGGTTCTCCTTCTCTCTCTCTCTGACCGTTGCTGACTTCTCCTCCCAGGTAATCAAAGCCTAGATGTTTTCTAAAGTCTGACCTGCCATCAAAAAGCCATCAAAGGGGGCCAAAAGGTGCAAACCTCCAGTTATAAAATAAGTGAGTCACGGGGATGTAAGGTATAGCACAGTGACAATAGTGAATAACACTGGACTGCATATCTGAAAGTTGCTCAGTGAGTAGATCTTAAAAGTTC